TCACTCATATTGGAATCTAATGAGCAAAATACACTAACGAGCAATATAGAGACCGACTCATAGATAGAGAGCTGGCTGACAGCTGTCGGGGTTGGGGGGAGAGGGAGCTGAGTGAGAATGGAGGGATTGAACAAAAAAGAAAAAAGGAGAAAAAACTTGTGGACACAGGCAACAGGGTGGTGAATGCCAGAGGCGAAAGGGATGTTGGGGGAGGGGGAGAGAGTATAGGGGGATAAATGGTGATGGGCGGAAATTTGACTTGGGGTGGTGAACACACAATACAATGTACAGGCTATGTTGTGGAATTGTACACAAGAAACCTGCATAATTTTGTTAACCAGTGTCACCCACATAAATTCAATAACATGGGAAATAACCATGTGCCCTATAAACCCTTATGGCCTATATTCATAGATAATAGGCAATTATTTATATAATATTATGAATGAGAATAATATTTTAAAAAATATAAATTGGTTGTTTTCTAAAGCATTTTAATATCTGAAAAAATTCAGCATTTGAAAAAAGAAGAGACTTCAAAATTATTTCAAAATGCCCTAAATTACATCTTGGACTAATTTAAACTGGGGGCTGAAGAGAAGGAGGGGAAAAGGAGTCATGCTGAAATGGAGCCAGGCTTAGTGAGTCTGCTTTGGACTAATTGTCCTTCCAACTCCTCAATTGCAGTCAACAACTAAATGAAAACAAATACGTATAACTAACAAGATCAGAAGGTTCAGGTTTACACAAAGTAAAGAATGTGATTTCCTTGTTATAGAGCAATTTTTAAAATTGAAAGACACCCCCTCCCCAAAATGCTGCAAACCAGCATGCCACCTAATTCTCTTTGCCCCATCAGACACTCCCTCTGACTAGGTTCTCAAAATCTCCCACCTAATATGAGGTGGTATTGTAAATAGGGAAAACTAGAAGGAAAAATATATCCAATAGGAGACAGGTTAAATGCATTGAGGAATACCTTCATTAAAAAGTGGTGTTTACACTCATAAAATAAAATGACAGAAATATCCTTATTTAAAAATATAAATGTTTATAAACTATATCATAAGAATCCTATAAATACATTTATAAACACACAAACTAAAGACTAGAAAAAATGTATCAAAATAATCTTGCTTATTACTGACTGGGTAGTACAGTTATTGGCTATTTTAATTTTCTTCATTATGCTTTTTATATTCCAAATTCCCAAATTAACTTATATTGGTTTTTAAAAAAAGAAAAAACTAATATCCTCTTTAAGGTACCTCCTTCTCCTTTTATTTTTCCTTCATGAGTCACTGGTTTAGGACCTTGAATACTAACAGAATTTTCTATTTCATATGATCTTTGTCCAAGGACATCTGTCAATATTCCTATAAACAGAGGATTCAGCTTAAAGAACAGACCTCAGATTAATATTTAGGGTTATACCACAGGGGATAAACACTAACCAGGTTTTCCCATTATATTATCATTACCAGTAGCAACGATAAAAATCTATTCATGAGTATATGGCTGTGCTATAAAGACTTCTTCCTTAAGCTAGAGGATTTGATTTCCATGGTAGAAAACATCAATAAGACCTTTTTTAGGGACTTTTTACATACAGATTTTATTTTCATGCAAAGATAGAGTAAACTCTGAATGGGATCTGAATTCATGGCCATCCAACAGAAGGGGCTCTGCTCCTTCTAGGTAACCGTCAGGCCACCAAGGCTCCAGTCCTGGCTATACCACTAAGAATTGGGGTGCCCTTGGACAAGTGACCACTTCTTAGAATGCCCATTTACACGTGTGTGAAATTAGGGAGTTAGACAATTTATTTGTCCATAGAAGGATTCTACTTAAAAGAGGGCTGCAAATACTACAGAGTCACATACAGAACAGGGTGATACTTAGGTCAATGTGAACAGCTATTGAAAGGTTACCCAAGGGCCTAGAATCTATACTCAACAAGTCCCTGGTCTGCCACAAGCTAGTTGCATGTTTTTCTGAAAATCATTTTATTTCCTTAGGCCACTGAAAACAAGGTAGGTAGACTAGATGATTTTTAAGTTCCATTCTACCTCTAAAATTCCATGATTTGGAATTCAAATGAGTCTAGAGAGGGAAAGGGAAAACAAGGTAAAAGGGATTAAAATTAACATGAAATTCTCTGACTTCCTTGTTTTTACATTGGGTTAGATTTTCTTTCATTATGTTATTTGGTGGAGGGATAAGTGAGGATAACTCCTGCATTCCAGTTGATGGTAAGATTGCAATTATTTTTTTTAAAGCCACACATAACAATTATAATTTGGTTAAGAGGAAGAAAATCATGTATCCAAATGCTAACTATTACTTGGTATATAATAATCAGCCCCAGAAGGCATACCCATCTAGCACTTTTTGGCAACTAGAAAGCACTTAATAAATATTTACTTTCTGACTTATAATGACTGTTGTTCTATTTGAATGAGGATGATTAGGAGTAGACAGTCTTCAGTGGAGGATTCTAGTGTTTAGAAATCCCTTCCCTTTGGTGTTACAAAAGACTACAAGTCTATGGACCCATTAAACATCCATTATGTTTTTATGATCTAACACGGTGAGAAGGAGTCTACTGGGATACACAGTACTTCAGTTAGTTTGAAGGCTGTCCAAATCTGTGGCAAGATCTCACTGTATTGTGTGTCAAAAGGAACTCAAGGAACCTAACATTTTAAAGATATATATAAAACCTAATATACAGATTATAAGCAATTACGTTTTTGACCTGTAGTCTCACAGATGATAACCTCATTTTCAAAATGATGGCAGGTGGCTCCGTTGGTTGGAGTATCATCCAGTACACTCAATTCCTGGTCAGGTTCAATCCCTGGTTCTGGAGGCAACCAATTGATATTTCTCTCACATCAAAGTTTCTCTCCTTCCCTCCCTCCCTCCCTCCCTCCCTCCTCTCTCTCTTTCTCTCCCATCCTCTTTCTCTAAGATCAGTAAACATATCCTCCAGGGAGGATTAGATCCAGAGACATGGAAGCATGGAACAGAATGATGAATCTCAGTGGGTGGAAAGAGATTAACCAAAGAACTTAAATGCATACCCAATGAACACAGACAATAGTACTATGAAGACCTGGTGGGGAGAGTAGCAGGGTGGAGGGGGTCAATGTGGGGAAAAGGGGAGACACCTGTATTTTTCAACAATAAAGATAAATTTTTAAAATATATTTTTAAAACCTGGGTAATATTTAAAGAAATGGTTCCAAGGTCTTTCATCACATCTTTTTTTATCCTACACACAACATAAGTTAAAAATACTATCTACATTTTCATTTTAGTCATAAGTGAGGGCATTGCTCCACTGTGGCCTAGCTGATGGCTTTCTTCCCTGAATATATATATTCAGGAGTTCTACAGCTTTGTGATTAATAAGAGCTGGAATGAGTATTAGTTGTACTGACTGCCACAAAAGTGGCAGTTCACTAACATTGGATCAATAGGACATCATTATAAAACCATCAATCAAAGCTGGATAGCACTGGGGCTTTCCTGGTGCTACTGAAATAGAATTTGACCAATGTGAATGCCCTTATCATTATACACCTAAATCAAGGGAGAAAACTTATTTGTGGAATGTAATTATACATCTAGCATTTATCCTTCACTTTCTGTGCTGCCGCATTAACATTGCAACTGTACATTTCACATTACAAGCTACTGAGGCATGGAAAAGAAGTTGTACGAGAAAGAATGCACATGTGTATCATATACAATATCTGCAAGGCAACACAAAAATAAGAGGCTATTTGTTCCCACATTAATTTCCATGTACAGTTCAATTACAGCAAAAAAAGCTTACATGAGCAAGTCAATCTGATGCAATTTAACAAGCATTTACAAAGTGGCTGCTAGATACAGGGCACAATGGGACATTTAGTTTGTGTTAATCACCTCCTTACCCTCAAGGAGCTTACAAGGACATTTTAGTTTCCTTTATAAAGAAAATCCTAAAAATCAATGGTTCTTTCATTTTTTTTTCTTTAATGGAGTTCCCAGAAAGAGGTTCTGCTGGGGTC